GAAATTATGAATTGCATCACCAAAAATGATCACAAATGCGGCACTTTTAAGACCGCACATTACAACTGGTTCATTAGCAATTCCACTAATAGCACCATGATGATGACCACAACCATTATTGTTGATACTCTTCTTGCTTCCTCTTTAATATTTATTACTTAATTTTTTCCAATTTCTTAGAAGAATATTTTAATTATTAAAAAATTAAAATTAAATTAAACAAAAATCCTATTATAAAACTAATTTCGTCTATTTCTTCTTACACATAAATGTTGATGAAAAGAAAGATTTTAAAATTTGAAAAATCATTTAAATAGCGATAATATTGAAAATTTGATAAATATATTGATAACAAACAATTGCCTTTTAACACTGATATAAAATTTGATGAAGCTACTTGATAAATTGTTCGTTCAACTAATTGCGCTCACGATTTATACAACTTTCTACATTTTGGTATATTTAATCTTTTCTATTAATAGCATCCTAATTACTCTTAATTAACCATGATATGCAATTATTCTTCTCCACTTACGTTTCACAATCCGACCAAGCATTTTGTGGTGTAGCGGAAACTTTCCTAATTTTTGTTGTTTTCTGAAAATAATTATTCTATAATATATTTATTTGAAACCATTTTGGCATTGTATATTTTCACTCTAATTTAGCTTACATTTTTTTTTTCCAAATCGGTGAAGCAGCAATAAATTCTAATATATAAAGGATGTAAACGGCACCAATTACAGCTGTCATTTTGATTAACATTGTATGATCATCAGAAATGATTATTTCATCTTCAGATTTCTATAAATAATACAAAATATCAATTATGTTATACAGATTATTTCAATATTTGCAAATGATCGTAAAAGTTTATTGAATCATTTATAAGTAAATGAAATGATTGATAAAAAAAAAGCCTTTAATTTGATTAGTTGATAAATTTAGCTTAATTGCAATACTAAAAATTCAAAACATAACCTTATAATTATCATGATGATGATGATGATGATGTTGATGATAATCTGTATGATTATGTTCTATTTCGAAATCATTATGGTCATGATGATGATGATGATGGCCATGATCACGATGTGAATGATTATGTACTCCAATTACCTTAATTTTAAAATGATTGATATATCATTAACTTCTTCAGGCTTATCATTTCCAAATTATCACTAAAACTATTATCAATATATTAAGCCCTGTCAAATTTCCAATCATCTAAAGTATAAATTTACCAAAGCTATAATCTCTTATTAAATGTTTCATAGAATATTGTCGCTTTTTAATATTAAAAATTAACAATTTAAAATTAATCATTTCTTATTTTTGTTTTTTTTTTCTTTTTTATCCATCGATAATTGGTAAAGAATAAAAAAAAAAAAAAAAGAAAATACCTGCGGTAAAATATGAAGTAAAGCATCTGAGCTCATTGTTGATGCTGCTAAAGCAATAAATATTTGCATCCATCTATTACGCCATTTACCTTTGATGATTGGTAAAAATATAAGACCAGTTAGGGATAATAATGATATTACAGTAATCGATGTAAAACCATAAAAAAGAGCTGAAATTTGAAGGGAAATTTTCAATTAAAAATGAAAATTTTGCAAGCATTCTTCT